CAACTGATCATATTGTTATAGAAATGGTTTCAGAGTCATGGTGGATATTCAATTTTCTGTCCGACAAAATATTATCAAAGTGTCTGGCGAGGGTTTGTACGCATAATTTTTAAGATTATAGAAAACATTGTGGTCAATAATCTCTGAATACGTAGGGAACGATCAAATTTTCAGTACTACAGCAACCAATTATACATTTACTGTTGTTCTTAAGTACAATCTTTTTGAGGCGGAACTCAAGAGGGTTCCTTATTTCTGAGAGTTGTGCTAACACTATAAGTTAAATGTAAGTCCAACATTATGCTACTGTCAGCATAACTAAATTCACAAATGAAAATATTTGTATAATCCAATCTAATTTCCCGCACGAATGCATTACTATCGATTACAAATCAGTGGGGAGTTTTGGGGTTAATTATTTGTTAATATATACAAAAACTCGTAAGGTAGTAAGGATATTTAGTAGTTAACAGACTTAATTAATCAATTACAACATAAAAAACGAATAATGGGCTTTTTCTAATTTTAACTAAAATTTTTATTTTAACACATAAATATTGATACAAAGGGGTACTAAATACATATACGCCATACAATAACAATGAGAACGTGAAGATATACAGAATGTAAGGTGCTTATGGGAAAAAGGGGAACAGTAACAAATAGAAATTGGTATATAATAGTGAAATAACAATAATAGAAGAAGCAGTTAAGTTAGCAAAAGTACAACCAGAAATGATTCTTCCATTTAAAGAAGTTGCGTCTATTTTTTATGAAGAAAGTAAAAGAAGGTTACAGCAGGGTCGCCACTGGCTTCTATTCTGAGCCATATCTGATAACATCTCTAGCCACTGTGTTGCGCTATCTCTCGGACCTCAGCCAGGGAGTCGTGAAGGTCCAACAGAAGCCAGCCCTCTGCAGCTTTCATGCCACGACACTACGTCATACACTGACTACCTCTCCGCTTTTTCCAACCAGTCCCAGCGTCGGCAAGTAATGCACGACGTGGAATTCTCCGGGACGACATTCGTAGAACATGTCCAAGCCACCGAAGTCGGTGTTTCAAGATGGTGACACCAATTGGATAATCGTCTATGTGCCCGAACACACGATGCCAAACCTCTGCATTACTAACATGGTGTTGCCACTGGATGTCAGAAATCCTTCGGCGACAGCGATGATCAAACACAGAGTCGTCTAACTTCCTCAACTCGGAGAGAACAGGTTTCACAAACACAGAGTAATACTGCTCTCACCTACGCGTTGTAAATCCGACCTTTTACAGCCAGACTAACATCACGAAGGCATCAAAGGTGGCCCAGATTGGCATAAGTCGCACTGGCTTTCACTATACGTGCATTGGTCTCATCACTCACACCCCCACCAGCACTTATGCAGCTACCCAGATACACGAACTTCTCGACTACGTCTATCTGCTCACCATCCAGGGTGAGTACAGGATTGGAATTCTGCCAGTCTTGTAGAAGTACTTTGCACTTCGAAGGTGCAAAGCACATACCATACCTATGGACATTGATTGCCAACTGATTAAGTGCGGATTGCATGGCTTGGGTATTATCGCACAGTAACTAAAAGGTAGTGTCGATTTACTCCTCTCAGAATGCACATATAATAGCAACAACTATTTGAAAATATAAACCATTGCAAGTTGATCTAAGTAGTTTAAAGTGCTGGAAGAACATCAATATTTGCGACCGTCTTATGCATAAAATAAGTAGTCAATCACTAAAAAGTGATCATCTAATTGCGAATAATCAAGTTTCCAAACATTCCTCATATTTTAGATAATCTTGGCTACCGATTGACTAATCTTGTGTATCTATGAAACAGATCATACTGTAGGAATAATCTGAATAATCTTGTTGGACATTCGGTCAGCTTCAGACAATGAGACAGTTGGAACTATTGTGTTTTAGTTTTACTTCCCACCCATTCAACAGAGGTTAATGAAAAGTAGGGACAATATCATTAATGACATTAAAGAACCAGACGTGAGAAATACAATTGAGAAGGGAAGGTTTCGGCGAGACTAATTTAGGGACGAGCTAATCAGAAGCGTTTGAGCAATTTCAAGGTCACGGAGCCAAGTTCAACACGCGATGCTAACATACGATCGGTTCACAGCGGATTTTAGAGAGGAGGTGAATAATGAGAAGTTACAATAGATGGGATGGCGAGACTGATTTAGGGACGATCCAATGAGAAGCGATTGAACAATTTTAATTATTTGCTAATCAGAAGACAGTATAAAGTAAAAATATATTATAAGAAAGTAATGAATTACAGTGGATATTCTTCTTTTACATGATTAAAAAACTTGTTAAGGTTTGATAAAGGTTCAGAAGTTCTGAATTCATAATGCATACGGTATAGAAACTCGTCCATAGGTTTAGGGTTAGGGTGCTAACATGCGATCGGTTTACAACGGATTTTAGAGAAGAGGTGTTTATTGAGAGACTACAACCCTAACCTAAACCCTGGCTTTGACCGTAACCCTTACCCTAACCTAACCCTATGGACGAGTTTCTATACCATATGCATTAATAATTCAGAACCTCTGGACCTTTATCAAACCTTAACAAGTTTTTAAATCATGTAAAAGACGAATATCCACTGTAATTCATTACTTATAATATATTTTTACTTTATACTGTCTTCTGATTGGCTAATAATTGTCAAGGTCATTCAAGATTCGTTCGGAGGTCGTCCCTAAATTAGAGTCTCGCCAAGGTTGCAATTAAGGAACGAAAAGTATGTTCAGGACTTAGCAGAAGATAGAGAACTGTTATCACTATAATCAAGTTCGGTCCATGTTGCTTAGTTTCCAGACCTGGGGAAATCCCCAAAATTATCCAAGACGTTGGGGAAGTTTCCTCAAACTTTGGGGAAATCTCCAAAGTGGACTTTAGTTATTGGGAATACAACTGATTACTGAATTTTAGTAAGTAGTATAAAACAGTACACAAAAGAACAAAGAAGTTACAGTTACGTCTGATAAAGCCTGCGAGGCCAGGTGAAAGGGAAACGGACAAGATAAAAGTTACATCACTTTGGGGAAGCTTCCCCAAACCTTTAAGTCTTCCTGCAAAACTGTCTTAACGCAAAAGCTCTACGAAAGCCTATCGACATCACGGAAGACCTAGGGAGAATGCTTACGTACATTTCTTACTGGGATGTTTTATTACTTTTCGTCAATCGCGCAATGCTAATGAAACTTAATGTTAACCGATTTATCGCGATTATTAAGAGACTGATTTATGACATAGAAATGTTTGTTACAGTTAATAAATTTACAAATAATTAGAACAGCTCTTCAACATTGTGGGTTTATTCTGTGCATCTGGTTCCATTTCTCAGCCTGCATTTGTGCTATCGAGGAGGGAGAAACCAGTTAAATTTTCCGATACATAATTGTAATACGGGTAGTCCAATTTGGTTATTATGGTTACAGTTAGTGGGTTTATGTGAATGTTCGTTAATTATATTACCTTCAATCCCCGGAAAAAATCTATTTTTTATTACTATTCTTGGTTGAGGGTCTTTGGGACATCGACAAACTGTTTCCAGAAGGAAATTAGTCAGAAAAACTAACTAATGCCAAATATTTAAAGTGCTTACAGTTATTATTAGTGAAATTGAACAGCCAATAACTTTTAATGACGTAACAGAAGCAACGTCGATGTTGGAATACAGGTTCATCCAGTAGATTTTTACTAAACAAGATGAAACGGGGATCTAAAGCGTTACTAGTAATCACTACTTTAATTCTTTAATGTTTTTGGAAGTTAAGTGAGACTGGGACTTTGTTTCAGAAAATCATATTACGTAATATATGATAAAGTTCCAAACAGTTAAGTTCATTCCATTTTGCTAAAATCGAGTCAGTAACTTAAATTTGAGATGACTGTGGGTATATGTATAAAGGTCGTACCAAAAAAGTATTTACTATAGTTGAGGTGATTTAAGCGGAATACAAAGCTTCACTGCTTGAATGAAAAACAAACGTTAACTTACGATAAGTTTTACTTGGGACACAATTTAGTCACAACTGGATTATCTTTCACAATTTCACCAGCATATCTCAACAATGTTCAAACTAGACAGATGTGAATAAATACTCAATATTCATTCATGGTATTCGTAAATGTAGCTAGTGTGGTTGTAATGGCTCATTGAATTATCTGTCATGTATATGAGCTATACATCAATAGTTAAATTCATGAGTCGATTGAAGCTAACCCACGATGGGAAACCTGGAAGCGCTAGACGACTCTTTCGTCATATTGTAGCACTCCTCAGCAGATGGCACCCACGACCACATCTCATGAGATTTGAACCCAGGACCTAATATTCTCGCTCACGAGTGCTTGACCATTAGACCACCGATCAGGCGCCGGACGATGTTAATGTCTAACTTCAAACAATCCACAAAGTTGTGCCACCGTCCACCAGAAGCAAAAACTTATAACGCTGACAATAGAGAATGAGGTCTCATTGAGCAAATGTGAGGGTATATTATGTACGTCCAAAACAAAACAGAGTACTGTTTCAAGCTGTCAGTCAGGAATTAGATCTGTACGTTGCATATGATTGTTGCACTTTAAATAGATTGTTGTCACTAATTAGTTGTATTCATTTTAATTTATTAGGCTCCCATGGCTTTAATAAAGCAATCTTACAATAATATAGAAGGGGAATAAAGACCATATACAACGACCTTTTCCATGATTAGAATGTGTACTATAAATTCTTAAAGTTTGAATACATAATCTAATTAGCTTTAGAGGATGTGGATTAATATGCTTTTTAGGTCGCCTTGCAGCTTATTTGCAAACTGATACAGATTGCTCAAAACTGGATTCTGATTGGCTACTTGCAGACTACCAATCGGACATGAGGAAAAGGATTTGGATTTTCTTCATATGGAACATGGAACCTAAAACAAGATTATTTTAAAGGTTCATTAAATCACCGAAAAAATGAACAAAACTAAGAACTATTTAAACGTAATTTTTGTAGCCTTTCTGTTATTATCATTATTATTACTGACTTGTAATACATCACATGTTCAAAAAAATATTTCTCAAAGTTCATCTACTTGCCAATTACAACTAGAATGTATCGGAGCTAGTTCATCTGGATATGGTCGTGTACGCATACCTGTTCGATCAGCTCGAGGGCCAGCTGGACCAACTGGGGAACAAGGAAATCCTGGACCACCAGGTCCTCGCGGAGAAACAAGTAAGTTAAAAGAAAGTTTAACGATCTGCTATTAAATTATTCATGAAAATGAATTGCAGTTTTAACGTCTAGATCTCAAAGCAAAAATTATAGAAAACACTAAGATATGTCGCATCTTTTATGTTTTTAAAACTAACTTTAAAAGTGTTAGCTCTTCATGATTTTTAATTGCTTTGACGCCTTTACCAGCCAATTTTTAAACCATGCATCTAAGAAAAAGTATAGATTTTAAACGTTAATTATCCTGGTGATGATTTGACAGATTTACAATCGAAATTCCAGCCTTCATACATGAACTTCCAAAAACTATAATGTTAGACGATTATTTTCATTTTCATCGCTGTATGGAGTTTCAGAGAAGAAACTCTCATCACCATTCCTGGCGACTTACCCAGTTTAAAATCATGCCTGAATTCTGATAATTTGTTGATTTTGTTAAAAACAGAATATAAAAAGATGAATGACGATTGTTTGTAACCAACGTTTTGATATTTCGTAGTTGAAGACATACAATATTTAATAACTTAGACTAGTGATTATACTGAAAGTCAGTGAATTTCATCCATCAATAAGAACTGAACTGACATCATATAAGCTACCATTCAGTAATGAGAGTGACTGTTAATTTTACATGCCGCAATCTATAGCAAAACAGAAAAGTATTTCATTATTTAGTAAATTTGTCAAGGAGGCCCAAACATCCTTAAGTATAGAATACAAAAGTCTATGAAAATGAAGAAATGTTGCATAATTTAATAAAGCAATCAAAAACTCTAAAGGTTCAAGTGCTTAATATATGTTGTTTTATAGTTCTAGGGTTTATAGGAACTAATCAGTGTAGAAATGTAAACGGTAAGCGTTTTTTTACAGAAAAGAAAAATAATGACTGGTATAATAAATGACACTTACGATTTATTAAGTAAGAAAGAGTGCTAGGGTCGGAGTGTAATATGGAATTGATCATGACTCTTTTGTACACAGAAAACAAGTGTGGATCGGAATAACTGTCACCTTGGGCCACCTTAATATTCATTTATTAGTCTACCTGCTTTTGTGGAGTAGATGACTTTTGCCATACAAAGCGTTCACATGATAAACGACTATTCCAGCACGATAGAGCGTGGCTATTTAAACGGGATTTCAAGTCCATCACTACCCCATTCCTCAAACATGGTTAACTCTGGTCAGTAATTTGTGCGCAGCTGTAGCCTTAACAGTCGCATGATCGGAGGTAATATTTTCTTCATTAAATTGTCTATAATTCTTTTTCAATGACTCAATAGGCTTAGGATGCAATTCATAATATCTAAATGCACGATGTTACTTCAGGATTAGCTTGCGTCATCGCCTGAATTAATGATAGGGAGTGATGTAGTTGGACGCATGTATTTAGAAGGCTTGATTGGCTTTTGGCGACTTGAGTCCTTTGTGGGGTTAGTGAAATATCCGTCTTTCAAACAAAGGACAATCTTGCTATTTAGCAATTTGCTCCGTTCTACTTTGTCCACGTGAAACACGGCCATTAAGTGTAGAGGACATTCATAGGTTAGTGGTACTCGATTATAGTTATCTTCCAGTAAGCAATGCTTGGGCTAGGAATGGGATATTAGGTATGGATGTGAAGTCGATTGAAGAGATGGCATACCTTGATCAACTGAGGTGTTTGGGACGTGTGTAGCGTATGCTATCCATCACCTACCTTGACAGGCGACGCTATTTCGTATAGGAGTAGAATCTAATAAACCTATGGGAGGCCAAACCAAAACTCGGCATCAGTCCATAAAGTCACTGACAGGTGGACTAGGCCATTTCAACAAATGTATACTACCTGGTTGTGATCCGCGTGATTATAGTGACTAGTGGTTACAGACGTTGAATGATTTGACTGAAAATCATTTGCAACGGCATAAGTGCACCCATTCTACATCTTTCTCCAAATTCTGAAATTCTTAATTCCCCATAATTTTTGTTTTGTATTTATACGTTACTAATTTATATTTCTTAAATTATATCCTCGATACTTAATCTTTTCTGTTACCACTGATAATGTTACTATCCCTGCTATTCTGAAACTTTCCTTACCAGTTTCATCCCACTGTACTAATCGAACATGGTAACTTGAACCGATCTACACGAATACCAGGCTCTACCTAGCATTTTACTGATCTTAATAATTGGAATAAATTGGAACGATTATCAATAATCGTCACGATAAACAATTTACATCAGGACAACTGCAAAGTATACGTTTTTTTAAAAGTCATAGACAAGTATTATTAATCAGCATCACCGAATATTACCAAGTGTTTTTTATTATTTAACACCATAATCAATAATTATGTACAAATCAGTCTAGGTATATATATATATATATATATATATATATATATATATATATATATATATATATATATATAATTTGATTTCTTTTATAAAACTACTCTTAACAATAATTTAATTACTAGAACTATACTACTAAGATATAGTTGATGGGGGTTTTGTTGAGACTTTAGTAATTTCAATAGTTGAAATCATGAGTCAATTGAAGCTAAGCCACCATAGAAAACTTGGAAGCACTGGAAGGCCGTTTCGTTCTAGTATGGGACTCCTCAGCAGTGCGCATCCACGATCCCGCTACCTCCGTGAGATCCGAATCCAGGATCTATCAGTCTCGCGCGCGAGCGCTTAACCACTAGACCACTGAGCTGTCATCTAACGGTGCTAATGTCTAACTTCAACTAATCCACGAAATTACGCCACCGTACACGATTGTCTTCAGTGAGCTGATATCTCACAACAGACCCGGTTGAACTCCACTGGTCATGACTTCTTACTAGAACTGACTTCAAGAAGCATTTCCTTTTAAAATAAAGTTTATAACTTAATGATGCATTTTATTTACAGAATAAAATAAAATGGTGGCATCATTATCTACTAAATAAATTTGATTATAGAAATATTTACTTAATTCTATCTGGAAACTTTACCGATTTTTGTTTAGTTTTCATTAAGAACTGTAAGCTTAATCATTAATTTAAAAGTATAATATAAATGAAAAAAACTGTTAATTAGCTTAAGTGCAACCTCGGATTTAGATGTGTATTTTATCACTCATTTTTATCTTAGTAACTTAAAATTTATTGATGAAAATTAGGCTTGAATATTGTTAAAACTGTATAGTTAGTTATTCCATACAAATGTATGTCATTATTTCTTGGTCCCTTCAAGATTGTCTGTACAAAATTTAGTTTATAAATAATTAAATATCATCCTGATAAATTATAGTAACCAATTTAGATGAATAAGTAATCAGTATTGTTACTATAAACCAGTAGGTGAAATTGGGTAATTTTTCTATATGATCTTAATGTATTAATAATTATAACTTACTTACTTATGCCTGTTACTCCTAATGGATCATAGGCCGCTGACCAGCATTCTCCAACCCACTCTGTCCTGGGCATTCTTTTCTAGTTCCATACAATTCTTGTTCATTTTTCTCATGTTTATCTCCATTTCCCGGCGTAATGTGTTCTTTGGTCTTCCTATTTTCCTTTGGCTTTGAGGGTTCCATGTGAGGGCTTGTCTTGTGACGCAGTTGGGTGCTTTCCTCAATGTGTGTCCTATCCACTTCCAGCGCTTCTTCCTCCGCTGGGATCTGATTTGTTCTTTCCCACAGTAGGTTGTTGCTAATAGTGTCCGGCCAACGGATCTGAAGTATTTTGCGTAGACAACTGTTAATAAACACCTGCATTTTCTAGATGATGGCTTTCGTAGTTCTCCAAGTTTCCGCCCCATATAGTAGAACTGTCTTGACATTTGTATTGAAAATCCTGACCTTGGTGTTGGTTGACAGTTGCTTTGAGTTCCAGATGTTCCTCAGTTGTAAATATGCTGTTCTTGCTTTACCGATCCGCGCCTTCACATCTGCATCAGATCCATCTTGTTCATCAATGATGCTGCCGAGATATGTAAAGGTGTTTACATCTTCCGAATCTTCTCCGTTAATTTTGACTGGATTGGTGCATTCTGTGTTGTATCGGAGAATTTTGCTTTTCCCTTTGTGTATATTGAGACCTACTGCTGCTGAGGCTGCTGCTACACTGTTCGTCTTCTCCTTATAATATTATATTAATAATAATTATTATTATTATATTACAAATTGCGTATTACCACGGATATTCAATCAACGGTCTTGATGGATTGAACTTTTAAGATTTTTTCACAATATAGAATCATAATTTGGCTTTATTAATCAATTTAAAATTACATATATTCTGAGATTAAGTTTCATCGTAAACTTACGTCAGCTTTAGATACACTAGATACTAGGAAGCACTAGACAACTGTTGTAATGTAGGACTTTTCATCAGAATGGTTTCATGAACACTATAATACTACTACTACTACTACTACTACTACTACTACTACTACTACTACTACTAATAATAATAATAATAATAATAATAATAATAATAATAATAATGGATTTAATCAGTGTTATGTGTTTAATACAATGAGGAATTCTCGACTGAATATTATTAATCCCCAAACATTCATGTCTTTCAGCGATGACATTAATGTTAATGTAGTGAGTTCAACATTCCAGCCTCAGTTATCCAATCATCTAACGTTTGTGAGTACTTGTCCCACATACGACTTAGATAAATATATTGGTTACAATTACCCTGTGGGGCTTGAGAAATTCCATTTGATAGATAGCTGCTACTGAGTATATATTTATTGTTGTTAAGTTCATAATGCTAAGTGTTTCAGTATTCCTTGATTTTCAACTGTTCTCTCAAGTCATCAGTTCTCGATGTAAATCCGCTTTGAAATATACGAGTCTTCACAAAACCATCTGATGTAATATCTGTTTATTCGTCAAATTGCTTTTTTTTTATAGCAAAATTACAACCTATATGGATTCCTAGACCAGTAGAATATCAAATAGCTTTTTATACAGGTTTGTCAAAAAGTATTGAGAATAAACCAGTGAACAAAAATTGTCAATTAATTTTTGAATCAGTTATGTTGAATCTTGGCAACGGATATGACAATACTACAGGTATATTCACCGTTCCTGTTTCGGGTGTTTATATATTTGTTGTAGTTATATCAGCACAAAGTTATGAAAAGGTAAGTGGATTATTTAATGATCTGGTTTTTCATTTCTATATCAATCTGACAATTGACAACGTTGATATAATTAAAATAGTAAATTGATTCTAATAGCATTCAAATGATTTCCTACTTAGGCGAGATTCATCCACATACAATAGTTTTTGTTACTTATATAGTTCTATTTCACCAGATTGATTTTAAATCATTTCAGTTTAAGATTTCATACCATATTTGTAACTAGATCATTTTACATGTGTGTAAGTGAGAATCATTTATAAGGTGTTACTAATGGTGTTAGATGTACTTCATTATTATCTGTATCTATCTACTTTTTATTAAGGATTTAAAACAATAAAATCCGTTATCTATGTAAAAGGATAAACAACTATTCACTTTTCACATTAATGTTCTTTTTTGTTAACTACAAAAATTGAACTAACTTCATTTAATGAAGTGAAGATTTACAATGCTTATGATCCAGTTAGTTATATTTTCGATAACTTCAGATCCAAATAACTTTCATCAACTCTTCTTAGTGAGATTTATAATTTACATTTGATAATATACTGAAAAGCCGAACTATAATTCATTTACATTAATTAATTTTCCTTTTATCTACAAACCAGACTTGTGTATCTCCTTATTATATCACGCTAAGTTCTTTTTATTTAAAAGGAAAATAACATTTAGTCTTAACAAAATTTATCCCCTATCTATACTTAATGGTATCTAAGCCACTGGTAAATTTCATTAGTTATTTTGATATGCTAAACAGATATAATTTAAGTAATACAAATATAAAAAAGGTTTGCAAATGACTATGAAATAATGTAGAAGATTAACAACGCAGGTTGGTATTTTCGGTGTTGTGTTTTCTGATAAAAATTGTTTAACTGAAAATCAAACCTACATAAAATATGTGTTGACGATGTCTACAATGATACTGAAACTATTAAGCCTGGAGAACAGAACATCACCACAATTCCATTTCCATTATAACTTGGCAGTCATTCATATAATAATTATACACCTAATTTTATGACTAAAATAATTTTAGAAAATACCATGTTATTTTAAGTAATATACATCAATATATGAATATTAACTATCCTGTGCATCTAGGTTTTCAATAGTGGTCTAGCTTAGATTAATTCGTGAATTCAACTATGAAAATACTATAATTTCCATAAATCCCAGTATTTCATTGATAAAAATAGAAACCAACAAATTTATAATCTTGTAAAATTTATTTTAAATTAGTATTAATATAAAGCTTCGTTTAGATTATAACAGTTATTTTAAGTTGATCTGTTAGAAACAACGGAATAAGTGAACTTGGTTTGCTTTTACAAGAACAAGAGTCAATATTGTCAGAGAATTTAGTCTATAGTAGTATTAACTTCACTATATATGCTTATAAATACAAATATAAAATGAAATCTAATATTCACTTCGGATACTCAGTACTACATTCCATTGTCATTGAGAAATTATCTAAAAGATATTCACATTAGAATGATTAAGTTTTCATATATAAGCTGGAATGTCAATCAAAAACACAACACATAACTTTCGACCTTGTAAGTTTATGTTAAATCTGATTTAAAATATCTAAACATAATATTCCCATAAAAATTATATTGTTTTTATTTCTAATATGTACACTTACAAATCGGGAGTTCTTCAGTTGTAGATTTAATTTAAAGACTAAACTACTTTCATACAAACAGGCAATACAGTATTTAGTAACTAATCCAGTTTATATATTCTTTTATCAGGACAGAGAAATAAGTTACATTAAGTGATTAAAAAAAATCATGATAGTCTTCTATTAATTAAAAAATGAAGTTTCGCGTAATCTATACGTTTGTGATATCTTACAATTTGTCAGTTAGACTATAAAGAATTAAAAGACCATGATTAAGTTCACATTCAAATAAAAAATAGATTTTCATTAAGATTTGTTAAGGAAGATATGAGGCAAAAACACTTTTCACGGATTAAAGACGTAGTACCGAAGAAAATCATATTTACGAATGTTGACTTCAAAGAAGATAGTTTTAGCGAGTTACTTTAGTATCTGGAGAGGTAATTCCAAATGTTATTTCTCACAATAAATCTTATAGTGTAATATAATAATCCGTTTACATGCTATCAAATTTAAAATAAACTATCGTAAAATACCAATTCAACATGTGTTTACCAGTTCATTAGCTCTTTGATAGCTGGAGATAAGTAGATTTCTCTTCAAAATTACTTACGGAATCCAAGAACAACTTCTAGAAGGGCTTATTAAAAGATAAAGTAAATCAATTGCATTCTCTATTCTGCAGGATGTATTAAGTTTAGGAAATCCAACCTCAGTTGCAAGCTAAAATCAAAACCCAACTTACGTTAGTGAAGTTTCATCGTGAATTATTTTTCTAACTTATTTTGAGTTCAAGACTGGGTCATTAGAGAAATGTAAACCTATAAATTAGTAAGCTAGTCTCTTACACCAAAGGAGAATAAAAGTTTTAATCTCATTTTGCAATGTTTATTTGAATCTTCTTATTGATGTTTAGGACCGCTAATAATCAATCTTTTAAACAATACAAAATGAATCTAAACTTAACCTCATTGCACAAGCTAGTGGCTATCAGGACTCAGTAGCTAAGTATATGACGCGATGGAGTTTGAAGCGAACGGTACTAGGTTCGAGTCATGGAGTGAGTATCAACTCTGGGATACAGGTAAATCTAGGTGACGAATCCCAAACGGGACGAGACGCGCGTCGTTGATTACACTACTACTACTACTACTACTACTACCCACTATCCATCTTTGCATATAATAAAAAATCTGTTACGAGGATTATCTTAGAATTTTTGTCTCTTTGACTAAATGTAATTGTTAGATGATTTACATTCATAGCGTACTATTTATTATATTCCTAGGTTCTATATCAATATAAGTTGTAAGGATTGTACTGTCGAATAATATCATGTCAAAACTGGTCTCTTTTTTTACAACTGAAATTTACTAAAATCTTTATTTTTTTTCGTCATCTTTTCCACAAAACGGAAATATTTAGTTTTAATACTAAATATTTTTTTTTTAAAATCTGTAAAAATTTGTCTTTTTTTATTTAAAACAAACTTTTAAGTATTTTTTCAGAGGAAAAAAAAAGAGACAAAAAAAGAAAGTTGATCACGCGAAAAAACATTCACTCTCAGTTGAAAATTAAATTTGACACAAGTACATGGTTATAAAGTGTAGAGCTAATAATAATAATAACAATAATAATAATAATAATATTGATTAAAAGATTCTTATTCAAGATAAACTAAAAAGCTTAAGAGAATCATATTTATTCTGTTTCGGTTTTTAAAAAAAAGAATTACAAACAAAAACTTGTTTATTCATCCCTATCAATATGCGCATAACCAAATAACGAGATTGGTTGACTATTCGTTGTACAATCACTGATTTTATCATTGACAATATTTATAGGTTAAATAAATGTTCTAGTGAGATAAAATTGTATTTCCTACTTATACAGACTTTATAAGTATAAAAATGTATTTGCATATGTTTACATACATACAAAATGCACAGATATATATATATATATATATATATATATATATATATATATATATATATATATATATATATATATATATATATACGTTCCATTTTGTTTAATGTTATATGTGTGATTTACCCCTGTAAGATAAACAATAAAATGACAAATTTTGACTAATGCTTTTGTTGCATGTTAAAAGCTATCAAATTTTAAGTTGAAAAGAGCAGAAAACGAATACAAGTATATACACATACATATTTACAATTTTTCACTGGAAATAAACTTAATTTCATTGCATGAGATAAATTTTTGGGATAAAATTTATTTCTCTAATTTATTTTTAATACTTATAAATGTCAACTTCTACCTTCTTTTCTTTTGTTGAAACGAAAAGTTTTACGAAAGGGATTGATGTAAAAATAATCAGAATCAGAGTATAAATAATTTACCGCTAAGTTAAAACAACAAGATAATCTATAGGAATGTTATGTTGTTGATATGATGAAATTTGAAGACAGATTTTAATAAGGAACGATATCAACTGGAGAACTGTTAAAATATGAGTAGAAATGGATAGCTATATTTGGTTCTGATTTGGGATCAATGCATGGTGTAACGCGGAGAGCGAATTATCTGTAGATAACTGATTTCATATTTAGTGATTTGTTTTTAACTTGTGACACTATGAGAAGGTCATGACATGAGTTGGTAATTATTTTACTGTTCACATTCTTGAACTCCACTAATCAAAAACTTGTTATTATGACTTAAGAAATCTTGTTGCACGTAAATGATTAGAGGGGACACAATTATTGTTTGGTATGGGGTTTGCGAACATAAGTTAATTCTGAGAATATTTTTCATTAGCGATACGACAAAAAGAATATTATTTGGGTAATTTACATAACTCTTTTAAGTTTTAAGCTCCGTATGAACTAAATGATTTTTTTTCACTAATTTGAGATGTGTAAAAAGTTTCTGATGAACAAAATCCAACCGAATAATGTGCTAATTACAGTAGATTACCTAATTCAATTAAAGAACCATATCAATGAACTGTGATACCAGTTTTATTTAAAATAATAAACCTATTTAAATGATAAATAAATGGTGATAGTTACTGAGGTATTAAATATTTTAGACATGGTACGTGCATTATCGAAACAGTTTCTAAATCTTCCAACCAGAATAAGAACATTAGAACAATCTGGCTATTTGAACAATAATAAAACATTTATGATTCATTTTATTCTATACATATATTCTAATAGTTGACTGTTTTATTGTAATAGTGAAATTCGAAATGCAAGATAAACTCTATAGTTTTCATCTTGAAATTATGAATGAAATACTCAATTTCAAGCATTTCACTTTGGATAAAGAAAGAACAGAGATCATAGCAGAATTATCTTCAGTTGCCTAAGACATAAAGAACAACTATTTAAATTTGTTCAATTTACTTGAATTTTTTTTTCAGGTCAATAAACGATGTAAATTTGCCAGTAGTTCATGTGTATTTAAAGCAATCAAAGCGACTTAAATTCCTGTTATTAGTTGAGAAATAAGATATGTCAGAAGTTAGGTTTTTATCACAATTTCGATGAGCACTTTGCATAATTCACGTAACTTAACACTGTTTAGTGCTATCATCATCTTAGTAAGTGTTAGTGGCGTAGTAATGCTTCCACAATATAAGGACCAGTTAAAATAAAACTGGATATAGTGATACACAGAACAAAACATATACATTCTTTGTTAGTAGGTGTCCTAATCTTGAAACACACGACGCTTTATTATTGGACATGACTGTTATCCACACAATCACTCCAAGATACTCATTAACACACCTTTAATGTCAACTACCACAAACAAGAGTTAACATTCACCGCTTATACATTAAATGAATCCGGCTGTTTCACAAATATCTAAGATTGATAGATCATTCAGTCTTCGTGGATATTGGGTTACTTTTAGTGAAGAAATCCAGATTAGTTAATTCAATTGTATTAGATAGTGTTTACCGGTCAATATGAATGAGCAGCACATAGTAGAGGAATGTACACAACTTATACTCCTAAAGTATTATATCGAAATACCATCTGCGTGACGTTTTTCGAAATCCTCTCGTAAGTTATCGTCTATTGTCACAAGTTTCGGAGTCTATATAGACCTTTTGCATAGTTTCTTACATTATATAATTATTATATCTGTAACTAAGATTGTAAATTTCAATGGTTTTTCGACTGCTATCCATTCTTAAAATAAATCAACTTGAATTAAACACTAGCAACCTCAGAACAAAATAGCTATCGTCCTTAAATTCAAATGTACTACAAGCATAAATTTGAGACACACAACACTTTATTTTCATAATGATAGTTTATTTATCAGGTATTTTGCCTGTAGTCATAAGTTAAGAAATAATGGATTCAATAATCACCGAAATGTCACCAAATTGCAGCTAATTAGGAACGGGAATCCTCAAGGCCAAAGGAAAAGAGGAAACCAAAGAACACATTACGCCGGGGAATGGAGACAGACATGAGAAAAATTGGACAGAACTGAAAAGAAAGGTTCAGGACAGAGTGGGTTGGAGAACACTGGTCAGCGGCCTGTGCTTCATTGGGGGTAACAGGAGTAAGTAAGAAACGGGATTCAGATAGCTGAAAGAAGCCAAGTAAGATCTCACATCATCTCAGTTCATTTTGTATATCGCAATCCACTGACAGAATACACTAGACCTCGAACATATTGCCATTCGTCAAGCGTTCGTAATACTTAAAAAATTGGTGATAGCTCGGATATCAAGTTACATGCCATTTAATGAAACAGCTAGAAGGGTTACTGTTATGAGTTTTAGACTATAACCAATTATCCGTACTTAGCGAATTGCTATTTGGATATCAATTTATCTGGGTTTCAAAATGATATTTTATGTGCAAATCAGCAACCCACAATATTTTGGCATCCAAGGTTTTAGAGCAAAAATTTTGCGGGGCTCGGAATTACGATAAGACAGCCTACATCGAAGTACGTAAAGCAGAACCTCGAACCGTATCCAAACAGTTGACAGTTCAGTATTCACAAAATCCGTAGATTTGCCGCGAAGTAAACCATACAAATACATAAGGCTAAATAAGACTGAAAACATGACTAATCGATTATATTACACGAAGTTCATCGCATAAAATTAGATTTTAAAGTAATTAGTCTTATATCTATAAAAAATGGACTTTCTAAAATCTGAATTCATCTTTCGGATTTTATGCTCAGAAAGGAGGGCTAGGATGATTTCAAGTAATTCGGTGAAGGGATATATAATTTTTCAAGTTCAGAAATTTTAACCATATTCTAGTTATCTATCACTTATAACCTAGTTAAATTACTTTTTATCATATGTGAATTTTGTCTATCTGCAAATAAATTTTTATAAAAATATATTTAGGCAGGTGTACGATTACTACAAAATGGCAAAGTCGTGTTACTTTCTTGGTGTGAAAGTACGTTTTGGGCAACTGTAACTAATCAAGCTATTATTCAATTGAATAAAAATGATCAAATATGGTTGGAATGTAGAGATGAAGCTTATCGTTTACATGGACATATGTATAGCAGCCTATCTGGTTATCTTCTTTATCCACATGACATATAATCGTGACAACATGAGAATCTTTTTTTTCTTCTATGTGTAACTTCTGTTTAGTTAAATGTTAATCATTCAAATAATTAATCAGTGGTATGATCAACAATCTTTTATCACATACTTATGTAACGAATTTTTGTTATCATGTAATAACTATATTTTTATTGAACTCACTTTTGTGATGACGAATAAAATGAGTACATTAATCGACAAAAAAGCTAATGAAGTATTAAACATTATACAGAATAATTAAGTGATAATACTACCAAGATGTGAGTCTTATGAATACACTGAAGAGAAACGAGTCTAGTATTTACATGTTTTGCATCAATCAAATATATAAATCACTCAAATAACCGTGGGATCTATAGTTTCATTCAAAAACTTTTGTAACTGTTCGAGTAGAAAGCAGGGTACTCAAAAGATTTGAAGTTCATATACCTATTTTTCAGGGGTAGATAAAATCCACAGAAAAACTATACTATACTGAGAAGTCAATCAGCATAAGTTAGAGACTCCAGGCATTTTGAACAAAATTTAAAAGTAGTGCCAATTTGTATCCAACTCATGAAGAATTTTGTAAAAAGTACCTTCCTTTATTGCACACAATTTAGAGTTGATGCCATCAACAGTGAAAACAGCATAATGGGAAGAGAAACTACAAAAAGTGCTTAACCCTGATGCAGATATTATATGAAGAATAATTTTAATAATAATTGGTCGGTTCCTCTTTTTCTGAATTAAATCTAGTCACTACTGATGTACTGAATGACAAACACTCTTGAATCATATAAACCGATTGATGAAATAATTAAGAATTTTGTTTATCGAGTAGTAATCTCATAACACCATTTCAACGATCTTTCAATGAATCTGTACATAAATATTGTGATAGTGAGAAAGCACATGTACATGAATCGAAAGTCATGGACACAAACTGGTCTTTATCAAATGAATGAGTTTTATGGCGATAGAATTTCGATTTTGACAGTTGTTTACTCATAAGTATAAAGTCTTTATGCTATTTTCCGAGTTGACCGAAGTCGTCAGTATCGTATACTTTCATCATTTACACAAAAATTTTAAGTTGATTTATTTAACATCCTTCAAATTAGTAAAACAACCTCCTTTAATGAAGGGAATAATGATCAAAATGTGAAATAAAGTAAATGATAGATATTTATTAAACTGTCTCTTATTTTAAGTAAACATTAAAAGTATTCTTAGATTCGTCAGTATGAGGTTAAATTATTTCAGGTATGATAAAATCACTAATCTATGATTGCCTACATTATAAAATCATTGACAGTGATTATTATTGTTGCAAGGGTAATAAACTTCAGAATGGGATGAATATAAAAACTGAAGACGTTTAATGCTTGTTATCTACCATTAAAAAGTGTAAACAATTCAGTAAATTGAACTGTGTTAATAAACTGCAGTAAATTATTGAATAAAATAATAGAATCTAAAACAAAATACACATAAACAATAAATAATTAAATTATATTAATAGACAAACAACTGGTAACATTGAATACATGCATATGATGGGAAGCGAAGACAGTTGCACGACTAAACTCACAGAAACAATCTTTTACAATCCTTAACACTTTTATACTAGACATGTAACGACAATTCGTCGTTGGAAAATCTTTCTCTGAATAAGCGAATATTTAAATACTTTTTAAAAAAAGAGAATATGACTTATACAATAGATAAAAACTGTTTAACATTTTTTATACACAAATTAGGAAGCAAATGATGTTATTCAGACAATATTTAATTTTTTCATATCTGATGGTGATGATAAATACAACAAAGGAAAAAAAACATCACGGTTTACAATCCCTACAGGATAACACGACGTGTCAACCACCACATCAATAATGGTTGAATGAATGCAATCAGAAGTAGTAAATATAATCGGCGTTTATTACACTCAGATGGATATGCTTCAACATGTGGAAGTATTTTGAGTTTGAGGCTTCTTATCTGAAAATAATTAAAATGAAAAAAAAAACGGTGAATTTACAATCTGTAACAGACAGTGGTATAAGATGAAGAGGATAAAATGAGTGCCTGGAAAAAATATATTCGTAGCTTAGTACTTGGTGTTTTCTAACTTGAATATTCAATTATGAACCACTTATTCTTACGCTTAATGGATCATTTACTTATGCCTGTTAGGGTTCATGGAGCACTGACTGCCGAACAAAATTCCATAAATAACTTTGTCCTGGGCTCTGCTTCCCAATTCTCGTCAATCGATATTCATTCCCTTCATGTTTACCTCAGATTCCCGGCGCAATGTGTTCTTTGATCTGCCTCTTTTCCTTTTACCTTGAAAATAACGAGTTATCACTTGCCTCGTGATCCAGTTTGATGATTTCCTCGGTGTATGTCCTATCCACCTCCACCGTCTATTCTTAAATTACTCTTCAACTAAAGGTCGACTTGTTCTTTGTCACAGTAGATTGTTGCTAATGATGTTTGACCGACGGATATGGAGTATCTTGCAAACACAATTGTTCATAGATGGCTGTACTCTTTTGATGGTGGTTGTAGTAATTCTCTCTTTGTACAATAGAACTTTCTCGACGTATATATTAAAAAATCATAAATTCAGTGTTGAATGACAGTTCGTTTTAGTCCCAGAATAAATAAATCCATACATGCTTAAGTTGTATAAGTGTTCGGAGGTTGATAATTGACCTCTCAGTCAGTCAATCAAACGCAGAGCAGAACTGACACAAGTGCATTGGTTCAAGTTGTTGTACTGCATTAGTACAATTTGACAGAATTATCAAGACGAATACTAAAGTATTAAAAGTAGTGACAGTATTAGTGCTAACAGAAAAGGTTAGGGATAATACATATTCCAATCATTTCAGTTGGGGAAGATTCGCTATTTCAACAACCGATTTCCCATTCTTAACTAGTACCCTGAGCCTAAAATAAGCGTTGCTCACTCGGTAGCCCAAGCATACACGAACAATGTTTCAGAGGTACTTATGACTAAATACCAGTAACAAACGTATATTCTCTATTTTGAAGACCATTTTTCACAGCCACAAATTAAAACAAAGCGAACTATTGACCGGTATACATATTCTCTACTTAGAAGATGAATATCTCGCCTGCGCTAAAAGCGGCCCAAGTTGAGAAAATATAACAAAAATTTCTGAATCCACGACGAGATTTATCGGGCACCAACCCAAAATAAGTTGAGTGATCTACACGCGCAACCACTTTGCTTCTAATCGTTTGATGCAGACTAGTTCTAAAACAACATCTTGTATTTAGCACGGGAGAGAAATGCATCCGAAAAGTGCTTGACTTTTTGCTCAAGTTCGTCAGAAGACTATGTATTTTATATTTGACTTTTGAGTACTGAACGTTTTTAAGTTGATTAAACAGATAAAATGACGTATTCACTTAAAAATTCAAAAACCGTAGTTTTGGCTTTGCTGGTTTCTTCTAAATGAGTTGATGTCGTGCAGCAAATGGAAATGATACACATACATACCTTATCATGTGGCATGTGTAAAAGGTTTGCCTAGCATTCATTTATATGGATTCACAAGTTGTGACATGACTAGATATTGTTATATAAAATCTCAAGAACAACGCATCGTGACGGTTAGGAAGAGTAAGTTCTAATATTTAAAAAAAAACCAATTTTCTTTTTTAAATTGTTTAAAATCACAGAAATATAATTTTTGCTAGTTTTAATCATGTTTAACTTCATTAAAATCATTATTAATAGAAAGTGCAAGTTAACGTTGGTACATTATTAAGAGTAGCGCATTATAATAAGACTTTATCCGCTGGAGATCAATAGAAGAGATTATTACAAAAAAACTTTAACACAACAATCTATAAGTGAACTCACGAGGAAAAATGCCAATGCTAAACTAGTATACAGTAAACTAAAATAATAGCCTGGTCGATCCAAACCAACGTAACTAATCAATACAACTATCATGCTATAAAAAAATAGAACAATTGTAAACAACGAGTTAGGACACTGTAAAATGATCGGTAACATTACTTCATACCACGAATTCAGATTAAACAGATATTATTAGACAGATTTAGGTAATTTAAACAAACGACAATGATTTTGATTGTTTGAAGATAAACTTAATGACGAGGATTTTGAAAACAATTGGTCTCACGTTCATCCCGAGAACAGAAAAGCTAGCAAGATTTCGATGAGAAACCGAGGAAACTTACTGGTAATTTCCACAAGACGAACAAATGTTGAGTTATCATATACCTACTGCAAAACACTGATAATTCATAATGAAATACTTGTTTTCCAAACTACTTCGTTTGATTATATAAATATATTAATATACAGATTTTGTCAACATCTTAAAGTATGAGTTTTGCTAATAAGTCAGTCCTCTTGAATGAAAGAATACTAAGGGTTCAAAATCCACAATGAACTTGAGATTTAAAGCAATTAGTCCCTTTTATAAATTTCGATAGAACAATAAGAAGACGGAGTTGATCTGAAAAATGTGATTGAGATTACTAAAACAGTGATTTAACTATCAAAGCAATAGATACACGTGTATATTATATCCGAAATGAGAATAGTAAGCACCATTACGTCTAACTGCTACATCTTTACAATTATGTTCACTTTTAGTACTAAGATATTAATATTAGTAGTGGACCTCGGGTGTCTTTTTCAATAACTTCGATAATCTTAACTTTGAAATGTCAAAATAAATTTTATGTATACCGATTTAACAATACAAATTTAGCCGTGTTTTTTTAAAATTATAAGTCAACAGAAAAGACGAGTGTTAGTATTGTCATAAAATGAATAGTTGTAAGTGAATATCACCTAGTGAAATTCCTATAATCTCTGAGTAGTATGATGAACAATAAATGCAACATTTTCTAAAATAATACTCACTAACCAAGCAAAATTTCATGTAATGGGGATTTCATAAGTGTATGAAGATTGTTATTAAACATTCAAACAACCACATAGACTATCTAAATGTTGCTGTCTCGCCGATAGGGGTTTAAATGAGCTACACGTGATTTCGGTTACTGGCTAATGTATCTGTATTTTTCAGGGCGTTGAGACCATGGGATATCTTAGTGTACTATTAGGACAAACAACTTGTTAAAAGTTCATTATTAAATTCTATGATTATTAACAGAGAAATATAAACACGATTAGTTATAAATAAATTGAAGCACTAACCTGACAAATTTATAACCACAATAGGCAACTATATCTAAATAAGAAATATTGTTCTGAATATTGAGGATATAGATTGCAAAAAGAGATAATAAAACTTCAAGCAATAACCAGCCAAAAGCTTCACTAGATAAAATCCCAAGGTACTCTGGTGAAAAACGACCTTGAAATCCAAATATAACACCACTCAGAAGTATGTATGTGATAGTAGCCATTAAAGGAATATACAAATCAGGAGCATTGATATCATCACCCGGAGGAACAGGTCCAGCAGGATCATAATTTACACCCCATTTCTATTAACGAGTGAAAATATTTAAAAAAAACAGTATAAACGAATAAGTTACATAGATGCAATAATGAAACCGATCAACAAAGAGTGTATAAAATGTTTAGTTGCATACACAATATGTTGCAACTCAGTAAATAAGTACATATAATCTATTTGGTTATGAGCCATTTTTTGAGGTCTGGTAACATTATGTTGAGTTATAGAGACAAATGAAAATGGATATCAGGTGTTACAATGATCGACTTTAATTAATTACATTCGCTGAATACAAATATTGATTCTCACTTCTTTGAGAAATTAAGCCACTTATACTACCTTCGTTTTCTGATCTGATTCATGCTGAAAGCCCGACCATATTTCGTTTGTTTCTACGCTGAGTTTTTTATACTTCGACAATGAAGCAGAAGCAACTGAATATGGTATAGGTTTTTTAACCATATAATTTATTAAATGTTTGACAATAATATAGGGTACTATATATTATTAGCAAGTAACACCATAGCTTCGGATAAATGTGGTCAAAAATATTCAGACTTTGTCTCACAGATTAAGACTACCGTTGCAAATGTGAATATACGTCCCATTGTTAACGATTTTACACCATAAGAACATCAAGATTTTACGGCCAATATGATTTCATACATGCACACCTAAGTGAAGTGCTGGCTACGTGGTTAATATGTCCGACTTATAGTCTAACCTCCCTTTGGTCAACATACGTTTAGGCTGCCTCCGAACATTATCGTGTTCAGGACCAGACGGGATTAGTTTTCGAGCATCTGTTAATTCAATGGACGCCGGAGAAATCCACTGATTCTTCTTAACCTTTTGGTTTAAGTTGAGAGTAGATATCACTGCTGTGAGGTAATCACCAACATTGAAGAGCAACGAAACAGGTGGGAAGAACACTTCAAAGAACTCTTGAATCGACCAGCTCCACTGAACCCACCCAACATCGAAGCAGCACCCACGGACCTACCAATCAATGTTGGCCCACCAACAATTGAAGAAATCAGCATGGCCATCAGGCAAATCAAGAATGGCAAAGCAGCAGGACCAGATAACATTCCAGCAGAGGCACTGAAAGCAGACGTAGCGGTAACTGCAAGGATACTCCACATTCTCTTCAACAAGATTTGGGATGAGGAACAAGTACCAAAAGACTGGAAAGAAGGACTTCTGATCAAAATACCGAAGAAAGGCGATCTCAGCAACTGTGATAACTACAGAGGCATCACTCTTCTCTTAATACCGGGAAAAGTCTTCAACAGGGTATTCATAAACAGGATGAAGGACTGCGTAGACGCCGAACTTCGTGACCAACAGGCAGGATTCCGTAAGGATAGATCCTGTACAGACCAAATCGCAACTCTACGGATCATTGTGGAACAATCAACTGAATAGAATTCATCACCCTACATCAACTTCATTGACTAACAAAAGGCATTTGACAGAGTGGACAGAACAACACTATGGAAGCTTCTTCGGCACTACGGCGTGCCTCAGAAGATAGTCAATATCATACAGAGTTCATATGATGGATTACAATGCAAAATCGTGCATGGAGGACAGTTGGAAAGTCGTTCGAAATAAAGACCGGTGTCAGGCAAGGTTGCTTACTCTCACCCTTTCTCTTTCTTCTGGTGATCGACTGGATCATGAAGACGTCAACATCTGAAGGGAAACGCGGGATACAGTGGACATCTAGGATGCAGTTGGACGATCTAGACTTCACAGATGATCTGGCCCTTCTATCCCAAACGCAACAACAAATGCAGCAGCCTCAGCAGCAGTAGGTTTCAATATACACAAAGGGAAAAGCAAGATTCCCCGATACAACACAGCATGCACCAATCCAGTCAAAATTGACGGAGAAGATTCGGAAGATGTAAAAACCTTTACATATCTCGGCAGCATCATTGATGAACAAGATGGATCTGATGCAGATGTGAAGGCGCGGATCGGTAAAGCAAGAACAGCATATTTACAACTGAGGAACATCTGGAACTCAAAGCAACTGTCAACCAACACCAAGGTCAGGATTTTCAATACAAATGTCAAGACAGTTCTACTATATGGGGCGGAAACTTGGAGAACTACGAAAGCCATCATCTAGAAAATGCAGGTGTTTATTAACAGTTGTCTACGCAAAATACTTCAGATCCGTTGGCCGGACACTATTAGCAACAACCTACTGTGGGAAAGAACAAATCAGATCCCAGCGGAGGAAGAAGCGCTGGAAGTGGATAGGACACACATTGAGGAAAGCACCCAACTGCGTCACAAGACAAGCCCTCACATGGAACCCTCAAAGCCAAAGGAAAATAGGAAGACCAAAGAACACATTACGCCGGGAAATGGAAATAGACATGAGAAAAATGAACAAGAATTGTATGGAACTAGAAAAGAAGGCCCAGGACAGAGTGGGTTGAAGAATGTTGGTCAGCGGCCTATGCTCCATTCGGAGTACCAGGCGTAAGTAAGTAAGTAAGATATCACTGCTGTATCGCCAGCTTTTTGGATATAATGCTAAGATAATTCGGGATGGATATCACTTTCATGGTTGATTAACTTGCTCCCCAGTTGTTTCTGAAATATATTAATAACTTTTTCAGCATTAGGTTGAGCTCTAGGGGGTTTTCGTGAGGTGACGTTTCTACGCCCAGTAAGATGCAAACAAATACGTGCTCGAACTAAAGCGTAATCGGAATCCGCACATGTGCTCCAAAATGAGGGAGTCTTCAATCGAGCACCTGCTACAATGGCTTCTGGCATTGTGTTCCGTTTGAGTCCATCGACGAGTCGATTGTAGAGGTCGCCACATAAAACGATGTATCTCCTTATGTCTAAAGTTGATTTTTGCCAGAAATTGGCAGTTGCCCGTGCATAGTTGTAACAGTCGGTCGTCGTTATCTGTTCGCTAGGCCGCAACGCTGTAAGATTCGCCTAAGTGACTTTCAGTTTGGCCTAGTTTACTTAACTGTCAAAGCGATGAAAAAGACAGAGGCTGCAGGTAACACAAGACAGCTTCTCAGAATAATAAAGAACTGGAACTAAAAAGTCAAGTGTGAGCGAGGCGACCTAGGGAAAAGACGACACTCTTATCTGCTCTCAGTCCAGACGTTTAGAATGATGGACGGAACACTTTAGAGAACAGTTTAGGTGGCCTTCAGCTACTCTATGACTGCCCACCATTTCCAGGCAGCCTGAATGGCACTTGGAAGTAGGTCCCCCGACTCTCAGTCAGTCACCAACAACGTAGAACTTCGTACGCACGTACATCAGTTCGAGTTGCCACACCACATTAGCACAGAGATGCACTTGTCGATTCAAATCCCGTAGTGGTAGAGGTAATAAGAGTATAAGCAGTAATCGGGAAGATTAGGGTTTGGAGATGTTATTTAAAGAGTATAATCCAGTGAAAGAAATTTGGAAAGAGGAAAAAAAGGGACATGAAGAATTCAGAAGATTAGAATTTGGGAGAACACAAAGAGTGGATACACCTGCGCCATTGCAAACGATTTTGAGCCATGTCATTCAGGGTCTCTAACCATCGATTGCTATAATCTCGTGGTCCCCAACCAGGTAGTCTACACCTACCAACATGACTCAGTCCACTTGTCAGTGACTTCATGGACTTGTGCCATGTTTTGGTTTGGCCGCCCCTAGCTTTCTTCCAACCTACTCCTATACCACTGAACATAGCACGTCGAGGTAGTCGGTCGTTGGGCATACGTAACACGTGTCCCAACCATCTCAACTGATGAAGTTTCACTACTTCATCAATTGATTTGCCATCCTTACCTAGTACCCGTTTCCTAACAACTGTGTTACTTACTCGATGGTCCCATGATATACGAGCAATGTTTCGAAGACACCTATGATCGAATACTAGTAACCTACGAATATCCTCTACTCTTACCGGCCATGTTTCACTCCCATGTCATCTGCATATTCCAAGTCAACAAGTGAACCTCCCGGTAGAAGTTCAACCCCTGGAAATTTAGATGAGGAGTGTTATCTCTAAAAGTACGTCGATCGCAAAGTTGAACAAGAATGGGGAGAGTGGACAGCCCTGACGAACACCACTTGAGGTAATCAATTCTGATGACAGTTCGCCATAAGCTCTCACTCTACCAGTTGTGTTCGAGTAGAGAGCCTCTATAAGGTTAATGTACTTCTTTGGTACTCCTTTCAGTGACAAACACTGCCATAGAACCTCACAATCAACAGAGTCAAATGCCGCCTTAACGTCGAGGAATACTACCATTGTGGGGCGTCTGAATGTGTGTCTGTGTTCTAGAACCTGACGTAGTGTGAATATCTGATCTATACAACCACGTCCAGGTCGAAAACCGGTATGGTTTTCTCTAATCTGCTTTTCACGAGCTTTGATTAGGCGTCGAAGTATTATTGAAGCTAATATTTTAGACACTATATTAGTCAAACTGACTCCTCCGTGATTGTCACAAGAGGACTTTTGTCCTTTCTTATAGACTGGCACAATCAGTGATTGAGACCAGTCAGATGGGATTACGTCCAGTTCCCAAATTCTACCTAAGACCTCGGTTAATCTCATTGCTAATACTGGACCACCATCCTTAAAAATCTCAGGAGTAAACCTGTCAGCTGAAGTTCGAAAAGCTATACTTAATCTGAAACGAGGAAGAGCAGCTGGTCCAGATGAATTGGCTCCAAAAGTGGTCCAATTTTAGCGATTAGGTTGGCTAATATTCTAGCTAAAATCTGGATGTTGAACGTAATCCCGTCTGATTGGTCGCAATCACTGATTGTCCCAATATATAAGAAAGGGTCAAAATCATCATGTGATAACCATAAAGGGGTAAGCATTCTTGTACCAATATTTATGTGTTCAAATAAATAAATAAATGGGGTTAATTTGACTAATATAGCATCTAAAACGCTAGACTCAATTATTATCGGGCGTCTAACAAAGACTAGTGAACTAAAAACACGAGAAAATCAGGATGGTCCTAGACCTGGTCGTGGCTGCATCAACCACCTATTCACCATTCATCACGTTTCAGAACACCGGAATGCTTATCGGCGTCCTACAATGATAGTTTTTCATGACTTAAAAGCAGCATTTGACTCTGTAGACCGAGAGGTTTTCTGGTAGTGTCTGTCACTGAAAGGTGCACCTCAGAAGTATATAAACCTTGTGAAGGCTCTTTTATCGAACTCTACCAATCGAGTAAGAGCTTATGACGAACTTTCGTCTGATTTCGCAACCTCAAGTGATGTCCGTAAAGGCTGTCCACTATCGCTATTTTTGTTCAACTTCATCATCCCTCAGGATCCCGGAGCCCATGTACACCATTAGTTTGGAATCAGGGTTTTTCAACTTCTCTAGGTAGAATCTCTGTGTCCACCGACCCGGTTAAAGAGCCAGACATTCGCTCTTCGTCCTCCCACTTTCGGAAAAATACCCCTGCCGCGAGAAGGAAGTGAGTAGGACTTTCCTGGTAGTGGTTATATGCATGTGGCCATGTGAAAGCATTTCGAGAGGGAGAGTTGACTCTCTCCACTCACGGCCGTATCAGGGCACTTGAGGTCACCATTGAAGTGACTGCTTCCATAAATTTGGTGTTCACCTTATTGTGCTAATAAGGTGTGGCAATTTGGACCGATGCATGCATGTGCCTGGTCCAACGTTGTAGCTGACTGATTGAGTTTTAAAATCACACGCCACTATTACTACATCGGAGCGTCCAGCTTTTCGGAAGGTTAGATAGCTCCTCATAAAATTCATCTTTAGATTAACCCGAACTACAATTAGTGGGATCGTAGACAGAGACAACAAAAAAGCATCGGCGTGTGTCATTATCTTTTCGAGCTCTTACTGTCTCTTTTAGTTGCGCAAACAACTGTCTATTGGAATCTAGTCTGGCATAATCTGTCCTGTTCGTGAACTTAATTAAGTATTAGGAAAGGAAATATGAAAGTTCTGAAATGAGGTGGCTTAGTATTGATAGCAACGTTGTGCATGCATCTTCGCATGGGCTATCCTTAGATCCCGAGTTCCAAAATTATTTTAGCCCTAATTCATAGATGTAAATTTATAATAATATTCTCTAGACGATAAGTCTTTACTGGTATTATTATTATCACTACGAACACGTTTGCTACTTAGGAATTCATCTCAATAATTTCAGATCGCTGTGTTGTGGTTACTTGGACCGATATACATTTGAACCACGGTGCACGTTTCGTATGACTGACTAGCCAACTGACGATAAGCAAGAAGCAGAATGTTTTATGGGCTATTAATAGCATGCTGTTGATCGTATTTACTGTAAGCAAAACAAAAAAGAAATAACTGTTACTTATCAATGTTTCGGATACGATCTGTATCACGAGTAAACGTTTGCATAACTTGAATTTCATCCTACATAAGTTGTACTGAATGATAGCACGAAAACTTTTTCTTATAAAGAAGTAATGAGATAAGGTGTTTGAGAAACTCCTGGATACGGTCACTACTCATCTCTACGTCTACTGCAGACAAATCATACTCCGAGAAATCAAAAATGTTGAGACAAAAAGTCAACAAGAAAGCAACTGATTTATACTAGAAAGTCACAAATAAAATGGATATAAAACGTTAGCTCATGACGAAGCTGTCCTCCAAAAAAAATAATTTGATTTAATCCAGCCTACACCTTCCAAATGAATACTTAAATTTCATAGTAACTGCTTTGAAATGTCAGATATTTAACGTAAGACGAAAGTCAATTCTCGGTAGAAATATTACTAATCATAAATGGAGTGTAGCTACCATCGAAATACAAAATAAACTAAAACAGTGCTTACTGTATGAGCAAACGGGAACAAGATCAGCCCGACTTTTTGGCAACGTATGAATTATTGACAGAAAAGTAGTATTTTATGCGAAATCGATTAACGTATTGGTCAACCTTATAACAGTTAGCCCTGAAAGAAGAGCTTACATTTTTGTGAACAAAGTTTGCACCTTCATCAAACATAGCTGAACCATAACGGACAGCTAAGTCGGGAATAAATTGGTTTTGAATAAAAGACATCCCAGTATTACCGTTCGTACGTGGTGCCGCAGGAACATATTCCTGACTACTCGGCTGGAAGTTGGCATAATAAGAAGCTTATACAACGTTAATATTATCATCAATAACAACATACTTTCTGGGTAGTTTGGAGAATACCCGGGATTGTGATAAGCGCACATGATTAACGCGTACACCGCGTCACACAGTTTAGGCGCACTTATTACGCTGGAAACTTATTTTTTTAATAGAACGCTATTTTCGAACAAAAATTAATTATTCATTCTCATGAAATGAATAATAATCTGGATATTTTAAATCTTTTGTTTGACTATTTGACTGTCATAACAACATTAGAGCGCGGATAGCGATGTCTAGCGTTAGCAATGAAGAGCAAGTTTTTAATGAAAGCGCACTTGAGAACGGTGATTTTGTGCTGAAGCCGAATAGATATGCGTTTGTCAGTGCCAAAGGCTTGTTACAGAGATGTAATGAGTGCGGTTTGAATATGTCTGTCCATGAACTGATTTTTAACTTATCCTGTCAAAATATTTTTTAGTTATGACCATTTAGTTCAATGCTGTGTAGCATTTTAAAAAAGAGTGGTGAAAACCCACTTGTAGAGTTGGAGAACTTTAGTCTCAAAATTAAAAGGCATAAATGTTCAGCGGACTTGCACTTATTGAGACGTGCAAAAGAGGTTTCTGCTGATCTTGACTTAGCGTTACGCCGTCGGCCATACTTCACAGTTAGTTTTAAATGGTGAAAATTTGAATGCTTTTTCAAATTCATCAGGTCCTTTCCAAAGAAGTACGAGGATCAGAAGTTTTGCCTGATTTGTCTAAACTTTTCTTTGCTTTAGGCCAAGCAGGCATAGGTTTGTCTTATCATCTCAATAATAAGTTTTTGAGTAAGGCTTTCCACAGGAAGAAGTTACTGACCTTTCATTATCGATTCGATCGTTTCTAAAGAAAATTTCACCAACTTTTGTAAGGTTTTGGGGAAAATATTTAGGAACTTCCCGGAATTATTACGTTTTAGAGGTAGAACTGGAACCTGATGATAAGAATATTTATTCATCTGACACTCTCCCTAACTTGAAAGACAATGAAAGTACGGCACGATCAGATGTTCAACTCAGCGAAAGATTGGCAATTCTCGATATGGATCCGCTTCCGAAATCCGAATGGAAACCACAACCACCAGTACCACCAGAAGAACATGGGAAAGGCACCAATCGAAAAACATACTTTGTTTGTAATGATTTAGGTGACGATTGGGTCAGATTGCCCGATGTTACGCCAGAGCAGGTAAATTTTTCCAAACATGTTATATAAACGTTAGTATATTTGTAATTACTTCATCCATTTTTACGATTACACTTGATTAGAGATTGTTCGAAAACAGAAATGATACCAGACATTTATATTTTTCGGATGAGGTGTAAGACAATCGTCTTTTCTGCAAGTGCTAATCACATACATCATTTTCTGCATGCGTTGAGTTGAAAATTTAAAAGTGAAGGAACAGGACCAGTCATCAATGGTTACTCAAATTGCAACTTATATTTAAACATGGTATCACTTTCTTATAGTGGTAGAACTCCATATGGCTTATGCAACGTTATGTTTTGCACACATCTTACTCTTAAATGGTTCCAAAAGCTCTTACTTTTTACGGGAATTATTTCGCAATTATTAAAGTTTAATATTCCTCGAGGCACAACTTTAACCTTAGCCATGAAACCGTGACTGTCACTTGTCACACTGCAAAGTTATCTCCCTTCAAATATATTTTTTATGACAGGAAGCGGATGAACAAGTTCTTTTTAACAAATTCCTAGTCGGTCCCTTACATACGTAGAACCCATTGCTGCTAATGAATAATTAGTGTCAAGAGCCATGTTCCTGAGTAACCTAAGAAGTTTCGTTTATTCTAGGTTACAACCAATGTGATTAACAAGTGATCTATCAAAACTATAAGTTAATCAAAATTAATTGTAGCAACCATATTGCATGCATCTTTCAGCATTTCCTTTCAACAGTTAACAATTTTGTCTCTTCAAATTTTATCCGTGCATGATCATGATCAGTTAGGAATATGCCAGATCACTCTCTCAATAGATATACTCTCGTGTTAGATTCATTCATAGCCTGTTGCTAGATTGTGCTTGAGAAAATAATTGTGTCTGGTTTTGGAACATCACTTCTTCAATGGTTGCTGGCACATCGGTATTAGTAGTATAAATAAATACATGGACTTGTTTGACAAATGCTTAATTTTGAAGTCAGATTAACTATCGAACCGTCTTACCAACTGCCGATTTACGAAATACATGCAAAAGAATTATCGAAGATAACAGCTTAAACGGCAAATCCGGACGTTGTTTACTTTACTGTTTGGCAAAACTAACAAATCATTGTACAATAGTCATTTCGTTCTCTTAAAAAAACTTGTCATTTTGAAATATTTGTCACAACCGTCTATCAAATTTCATCTCTATTACGGAATTCTCTTTTCACTTCCTTCTGTACTTTTGGTGGTTAAACTTTGTACACTGAGTAAAACGATAAATTCTCGCGGGTTAGACCGTTTCTGAAGACAACAATTCTCACTGATTATTGACGAAAGCCCACAAATTGCTTCGACTCAACGACATGAAAATTGACCATTCTTTTAATATCACTAACTGCTTGTGAATGTCCAAATATCCAGTCCACTCAGCATTTTAATGGACAATAATACATACAGTGCAGATAAACTATAGGTGTGTTGTACATTTCTTATGTTGGAGTTAAATCACTTTACATATGAATGCAACTAGAAAACTAACAAATCATGTGATCGAAACTATCTTTTTATTAATAAGTAGTATCAGTTGCGAAGAAAAGTTTGTTTTTTCTATTTTACAATACTCGATAGACAAAATATTTCCTAAAAGTAGCAAATTTTAACTAGCGTTTTGGTGCTACGAATTTTAATCAAACTGTATTGTATAACAACTACAAGTGTGGTGTTATAAACCCTTAGATTGTCACCAGCCGGATGATAAAATACCTTTGTACGGGTGATTTGGAAGCGGAAATTAATACATTTCCAACTTTCCCTGGAGTCGAAAAAAATTTTCTTCGGGCACAAATAGCACGGATATCTGGATCAACTACAATTTCTCCAATAAATTATTATCAATTCAACGAAGATGAAGAAGAAGAACAAATAGAAGAAGATGCTTTGAGAGAAAATTTTATAGAAAATCCCGAATATGAGCCAATGACTATTTATGATTTGACTGACCCTACTTTAACTAATTGGGTCCATCATACAGCTTATATATTACCACAAGGTCGAACGGTTTGGTAAGTTTCCATTTTTCACCGTATAAGTTTACAAATGAATCTACTGGTTACTGACTAAATTTAAATTCTAAAAAAATAAATTAGCTTTGTGACTGCAGACGAATAGTGAATTTATTGTTGATAACTACTTTTATTTTTGAGTTTAGTTTAACAGTGATTCGTTACTAAACCACTCTGATATTGCCCGAAATGGAAAGACATGTAAAACAACACGTAATTTATTTTCGGAATAAAACAAAAACTATATACAAAATATGTGATAATATATATATATATATGAGTAATTTTGCCAACAAGTTGTAACCAGTAAAATTAGAGTGTGGTTATCAAACTGAACTGTTTCTTGATGTACAAACTATGCTTGAAAAAAGACATGTTGACAACATTTGTGGCGGTTCGAGTCAAACCATAAAGTACTTTGTGTGCTAGGGGAGCATACAGACTAGCGTGTTAAAGATAGTAGAAAAAGTGAAGAACCAAAATAAAGGTGAGTCGACGACCCAGTAAGGGCACACAATGCACTTACATTTGATAGCAAAAGTAATCGACAACAATAATAAGAGCTTCAGCTTAAGACAATCTTTGAACCGAAACTGGAAGCAAATCGTTCAAAAAGCTACACATTTTTCTTCGAATATATTTGTATGTTATTAAAAGTCCCGTAAATCAGTGAAAAATGTTTTAATGGAAGTACTACTAATTACTCTACACTTTGCATGTAGAACAATACAATAACTAATTCTGAAATTAATTACTGAATACATGCTGATTCCTAAGCATTATCTGGATTATACGGTAAAGGGAATAAAGATAATATTCAGTGACTTTAAATTATATGCATCGTAAGTAAATCGAATCAACCAAGGAAAATATAGGCACACGTCAATCACAAGAAGAAGTAATGTTGAATGTACTGAATAATACAGAGATTTGTAGATATGTCCAAACGTACTCTAGTAACGCAAAATAGACTAGGACTTCAAGACCGTAAAATACCGTGAACTCATGTGAGCACATTTTATTGGCATCATAAATAAAGCTTGTACCTGTGTATTAAATATTTGTCAGTCAAAACAAATACTTCAACACTTCCACATCTTTGAGTAGGAATGAATTCTTTCCATTTTTTAGTTCATTCCAATCAGTGAATGTACTTTTCTTGACTTTACTAAATCATCTAAGTGATAAGACATGTAAAATATATTTAAGTGGTTTTTACTTATTTACCCACACCTGTTAGGTTCCGTGGAGCACTGACTGCCGAACAAAATTCCATAAATAACTTTGTCCTGGGCTCTGCTTCCCAATTCTCGTCAATCGATATTCATTCCCTTCATGTTTACCTCAGATTCCCGGCGCAATGTGTTCTTTGATCTGCCTCTTTTCCTTTTACCTTGAAAATAACGAGTTATCACTTGCCTCGTGATCCAGTTTGATGATTTCCTCGGTGTATGTCCTATCCACCTCCACCGTCTATTCTTAAATTACTCTTCAACTAAAGGTCGACTTGTTCTTTGTCACAGTAGATTGTTGCTAATGATGTTTGACCGACGGATATGGAGTATCTTGCAAACACAATTGTTCATAGATGGCTGTACTCTTTTGATGGTGTTTGTAGTAATTCTCCAAGTTTCAGACATCATCATGAAGTTCATATAGACTTATATATATCATAACAAAGTTTCTGGAAAAATATTCCAACCAATCTTTCAGAATACTGTAGGTTACTGAATTAAAATAATGTTCTTTGGTCTTTTATCAAGTGAATCAAGCTTACGTTTTGAAGGACCCTGAGCTGATTTGAAATACACCTACTTGAAAATAAA